ACAGGGTGGAAAAGCATGAATGCCCCCGTCATGGAATTTGTGTCACTGCCACGTTACAAAACAAGCCCAGAGCCATGAAAACACAATATTCTCTCTCTCTCTCTCTTTAAAAAACAAAACAAAACAATTATCATCAAGCAAGGGAGATGACAATGAACCAAACGGTCCGAAATGCCACAGGGAAACAAAATCCCCAGCATTGTTTTGGGGATGGGATTCCACCTCTCTCTCTCTCTCTCTCTCTCTCTCTCTCTCTCTCGCTGGGCTCTTTTAATTTGATTTAATTCTCGTCCCGACAATTCTTATAGAATAGTGGCTCCTTTCGTTCATTTTACACCTTAATGGCTCCTAGTTCTTGCCGTGAATTTGCAACCGGCCAATATTTCCAAAGAAGGAAAACTGCGAATAATTTTGCTAATAATAGTTTTGGCTAATAATTCCCCCCCGATTATTTCTGAGAGGAGAGGGGAGGCGTGGCCTGAACTTAAGCCCCGCGGGATGTGACCGGGGTCGGTCAACGGGGGACCAGAGGTTTTGCCTTCCAAGCTTTCGGACTGGGAGGCTGGAGCCCATCCTTGGTTTCACCCTCCAGGCCCTCCCCCTCCCCTCCAGCTGCTTGAGGGGGGGGGGTCTCCTCCTCTACCGGCCTCACCTGCTTGAGCTTCAAGGCAGCCTGGACGGAAGGCCTGTTTTCCATCTGCTGGGCCAGCCTCCGGTTTCGGGCACTGGCCAATTGCTGCTGCTGCATTGTGGCGCGAATATTCACCGGGATCGGCTGTTTGTTCTTCAGCATGTTAGTAAAGCTTCAAGGTCGAACAAAACGGGGTGTGTTTAAGCAAAACGGTTTCATTACAGACCCATTTCAAGCGGCATTTTCACAGCCCTCTCAGAGCAGGATATTTGGGGGGGTGCACAGCTGCATCCCCACGGAAATTTTTTTTTTTTTAAATAAACGTAATAAGGTGGTTACACAAACTCAAGATCCCGTTTAAAGCATAATGGGAACTCTTTTTTTTTTTTTTGGTTTTCCTCATTTTTTTCCACAGAGCGTGCAGGGGTGGGGGGGAAAGAGGACGACCGACACACACACATACACACACACACAAACATTCGAAAGGCGGGGATGGGAAAATCAGAGACAGAGAATGTCTGAATAAAATCAAGCGAAGGTGGGAAAGAGCAAAGCAGAAATGGCGGTGGAAAGATGGGGAGGAAGGCTGAGAGGGGTCTACGTAGACAAGGGAGGAAGGACTGGAGGGCGTTAAGAAAGGAACTGGAAGGTTCCTTGCCAAAGGCTACCAACCCCCTAGACTAGGAGAAATGAAGAGGTAAAAGAATGGCGAACTCTGCAAGCCCCCCCCCACCAACCTCCTCAAAGCCAACATCTCAGTGTGCCGAAACCGGCATTGGGAGAAGTATCCCGAAACCATAAACCTAGCTTACCCCTTTTTATCTTTCCAAATTGGTCGGGCACCATTGCTTTCCATGCAGCACGATTAAATAAAAAAAAAAAACACCAAGGCTTATTCATATTTATTATTCCCCCCGTTTGCTTCAGGATGTGAATAATAATAAAGCCTTCAAAGTCTAAATAATAAAAGTGCAGTGTCGGCATGTTAACTCCCAATAAATCCTTTGGATGTTTTGGAAGTTTGGCTCGAGACTCCGGATTTAATTGGGGATATGGCCGGAGCCCTGACACCACCCCTTCATACAGGTAAATATTACCTGTAGATTTTTTTTTTAAAAAAGAAGACTATTAAAAAAATCTACTACCTGTAGACTTTTAAAACGACTGAGTTACGATGGACGTTTAGGCCGACTAACCTAGGACTATAAATTTGAACACAGAAGGGGAACGGAAAGCAAAAGATTCAGCCAACATTCGGACATTTGAACTCACGAGAGACACGGAGGAGGAAGAGGAGGAGCGCAGAGGAGAGGAGGAAGCAGCAGGCGATGGAGCCAAGCACTTGCCTCTTACAAGGCCCCCAAGGAGCCTTCGGGCTGGTCAGAGCGGCCCGCTGCCTGCCTCTTACAGCACAGACCACACGAGGTCACGCGTGTCTGCCTCGGGCACAGCAGGAAGCCTCCCGCAGCTGCGGTGACATGCTACCACACCGCGGGCGTCATACCACACATCTCTAGAATATGAACACATGTGGAAGAAAAAAAAAAGGAGGGCGCGAAGTTTCCTCAGGACACACCCCACCAACGCGACCGGGTTTTGTGGTTTTTTTTTTTTTTTGGTTGCCGGTTAGGCCGACACGTTTGCCCTTTCAACCTGGTGTACCACGGCGGGGCAACAGGGAGCTGCCCGCGTGGCTTTCGGGTGCCTCTGGGTAGATTTACAAGCATCGCAAAGACCGCTCCTGCTCTGGACACCAGACAGTGTACAAAACTAAAAAAAAAAAAGAAGAACGTAAAAAATAAAAAGATCTTATGAGCTGAAGGTGGCCGTTGGGTTCCTCACCGCTCGTTAAGAGACATCTTGCTGGTGCTCTTAAGCACGACTTTCGGCGCTGACTGTGCGGCCATCTCCGGTGCCCAGAACCTGCGCAAAAATAAGGAGAAGGATGTTACTCAAAGAGCCCGATTATTTACATTCCGCTTTTTGAAAAAATAATAATTCCAGGTGACGGACATATCCAAGACACCTTCTTCCTCCTATTTTCCTAACAACAACCCTGTGGTCCAGCCGAGAGGGAGGGATTGGCCCAAAGTTACCTAGATGCTTTCATGCCTGAGGTGGGACTAAAATTCACCGTCTCCTGGTGATTGGGCGCTTTCCTAGTGTCTACCCCAAACTGGCTCTATTTTTTATTTTAACATTCTTGATGATTGCTTCCAGAAACTGACCAGCTGCCCACCAGAAGAATAGAATAAACTTTATTGTTGCTTTGAATTAGTTGGCCTACATTAAAAATGAAATATTGCTGCATAACAGCTCTCAAAAGGTCACCACCTCCAATTTTACACTATATAAACATGGCAAGAAATGAAGATGAATCGGAATATGATGTAATTTGGAATAGATTTTACTGGGGGGGGACAGAAAGGAAGGGTTCAAGATTGAAAAGAATTGTTAAGAGGACACCTGCGATCATGAGACTTAAAGAACACTAAGTGTTGGAAGATGTAAATAAGGATGGATAAATGTGTGTGTATGTATGTATATATGTATAAATGTATGTAAGATCTATATTCTATTATATTTCACTAGAATTATGGCCAAAAGTTATGTCAAAAGGACTCCACTACAATGTTTTTAATTGTTTAATAAAAAAAAATTAAAAATGAAATATCGCTGTATAACAGCTCTCAAAAGGTCACCACCTCCAATTTTGCACTATATAAACATGGCAAGGGAAATAAATACGAAAGTATGTATATAGCCACTTACATGAATCCCCAGATCTGGAGCCAGCAGCCACAGAAGCTCCTCAGACCACTGTGCCCCACCCCCTCCACCAGCCTACCCTGCAGGGTTGTTTGTAGTACGGGAAATTTCAGGCAGCTTTGATGCAGAATCCAAAATGGGCTTTTAGAGGGGGGCCAACTGCTTGGGAGGGGGTTTTGGGAGGGGGTAAAAACCCCAAATTGGAGTATCCCCCCACCCCAGTCTAAACACTCAGGTAAGGCCTCTCCCAGTCTGCCCCCCCCCGCCCAGAAGCAAAGCTGGACTACAACTCCCATCATCCCCAGGACAGGGGAGGCCTACAAGCCCCATAATACACAGATATCAACCCCCCCCGCCAATTAAGCACCAGGTGGGGAGGGGGGGAATGAGCGCCTGGGAGCAGCCCCGCCCCTCTCTACCGGAAGTGCCCGCCCCCACTTCCGGTAGGCCGCGTTTCAAGCCTGTCACGTGGGCCAACGGTCCCCGGAGAGCCCTCTCCGAATCCCAGCCGGCCACCCCGCGGGTCCCTCACCGTCGGGGTCGAGGCTCGCCCGGTTTGTTTTGTGACTCTGCCGGCGGCTGCGACGGGAGGCTCCGTTCAGGCCTCGCCCGGCCGGCCCCGTCGGATGCCCTGAACGCCAAGATGGTGGCGGTGGTGGTTCTCCCCTTCACTGTATCCGGCCCTCGGGAGCAGCACGACGCGCTCTCCGATGCTACTGCCGCTGCTGCTGCTCCGCCGCCGCCGGGGCTTCTCCGCGTCCCCGGCTCTCAAATCTCCCCTCAGAAAAAGCCCGGCAAAATGGCGCCGCCCAAGGCTTTTCTTTCTTCACAGTTCGCGCATGCGCCGGCGAGGGAAGGAAAAATCGGCCCCGCCCCCTTGAGGTGCGCAGGCGCAGAAGGAAGAAAAGCGAGCGCGAGAAAGGGGCGGGGCCCCAAGAACGGCGCCGCCAAGGGGCGGAGCTTCATCCGCGGAGTTCTCCCATTCATCACGCGGCTGGCAGGCCGCGAGGGGGCGGTGCTTGACAATGTGGGCGGGGCGCCACGTTTTTATGAATGGGAGATTATTATTTTTTTCCTACTCCCAAAAAAACCAACTTTTTAGGGGCCAGTGGTCCCAAGTATGGAAAAGGATGTAGGGTTCTTTTGCATTTTTATTTTTATATATTTTTTATTTTGTTCCCAGATTTTGTTCTATTGTGCTTTGTCAATTTATTTGATTCTTTTTGTTAGCTTTTATTATTTTTTATTTTAAACATGGTTCTTACATTGTGTAAGCCGCCTTGAGTCGCCATGGGCGAATAGGCGGCAATATATAACAAATAAATAAATGAATGAATGAATAAATAATTCTTCTTCTTCTCCTCCTCCTCCTCCTCTTTCTCCTTATTTTAGCTGCCCAAACGCCACCTCCCCAGGGCCATTTTGTGAGTGCGCCCACAAAACCAGGCTCCAGACTCCCGCTCTCACCCTGGCTCCATCTCTCTGCTTCCTCCCAGTCTCCCTTCTTGCCTGAAGAGCCCCAAACTGCCCTTCCACCCTTCTTCCCCCCCCCAAGACCCCCCACTGTACCCCCATCCCAGAGACCAGACCAGGCCAGGCCCAGTGCACACTAAATAGCTTTTTAATCAGCAGCGCTGCCTCAGCAGGCGGGTTACAAGGCACCTCGGGCTGCTCTCAGCCGGGCAGAGAAGCCGCAAGAAAGCGGGGGGGGGAGGAAAAAGGCACCGCGAAGAGACAGCAAATGTCCCCCACCGGGGTCAAATCCCCCGACCCCCCCAAAAAACCCCTAAGCTTTGCTGCGTTCCCACGACGGCCGCTCGGCGGGGCTCAGGTTTCCTTCGAGAAAAAGGGGTTGCAGGCCACGGTTATGGCGGCCACCAGGATCACAAACTCCTGGAAATCCACTTCTCCGTCGCCGTTCTCATCCAAATCCTGCATGATCTTGTCCACCACTTCCGGCTCTCTCTGGGTCTGGAAAAAAAGAAAAAAAGAAATCGGACGAGGATTTGGTGGGGGGGCGCAGTGGTGGGATTCCATTTTTTTTTTAAAAAATTACCGGTTCTGTGAGTGTGGCTTGTTGGGCGTGGCAGGGGATGGTTACGGCAAAATCCACTAACCTGCTTTCCAGCTCCGTTCTCCTGCGCAGGGCAACCCAAGGAGACCCAGCCGATCAGCTGTGGGCGTGGCTTGGGTGGGCAGGGGTGTTCTGTGGGTGTGGCTTGGGGGCTTGGTGGGCGTGGCAGGGGAGGGGGTATACTGCATAATCTCTATTCCCTCCCCAACCCACCAACCTGCTTTCCAGCTCCGTTCTCCTGTGCAGGGCAACCAAAGGAGACCCAGCGGATCAGACTTTGGGTCCATCCCCAGGAGACTGGGAGTTCTAGTTCCGCCTCAGGCATGAAAGCCAGCCGGGTGACTTTGGGCCCATCCCCAGGAGACTGGGAGTTCTAGTCCCGCCTCAGGCATGAAAGCCAGCCGGGTGACTTTGGGCCCGTCCCCAGGAGACGGAGTTCTAGTTCCACCTCAGGCATGAAAGCCAGCCGGGTGACTTTGGGCCCATGCCCAGGAGACTGGGAGTTCTAGTCCCGCCTCAGGCATGAAAGCCAGCCGGGTAACTTTGGGCCCATCCCCAGGAGACTGGGAGTTCTAGTTCTGCCTCAGGCATGAAAGCCAGCCGGGTGACTTTGGGCCCATCCCCAGGAGACTGGGAGTTCTAGTTCCTCCTCAGGCATGAAAGCCAGCCGGGTGACTTTGGGCCCGTCCCCAGGAGACTGGGAGTTCTAGTTCCTCCTCAGGCATGAAAGCCAGCCAGGTGACTTTGGGCCCATCCCCAGGAGACTGGGAGTTCTAGTTCCACCTCAGGCATGAAAGCCAGCCGGGTGACTTTGGGCTCATCCCCAGGAGACGGGGAGTTCTAGTCCCGCCTCAGGCATGAAAGCCAGCCGGGTGACTTTGGGCCCATCCCCAGGAGACTGGGAGTTCTAGTTCCCCCTTCCCCCCATTGCTTCTCCTCCTCCTGCCTTCTGGCGCTTTGGAGAATAGCTGGACTCCCCTCTTCTTCGGGGCAGCCCCTCAGATAGATTGCTTATCATGCCCCCCCCCCCACTTCTTTTCTCTATAGACTAGATGACCTCCAGGGTCCCTTCCAGCTCTATTCTGACCGACAGAAGAGAAAAGGGGGGGGTGGGGAGGAGAGAGAAAAGCCCAACTGAAAGAGGAAGGACCCCCGGGCGTCCATCTTGTCTCACCTCCAAGAGGCAGCCCAGTTCGTTCTGCAGCAGTTCCTTCAGCTCCTTCTTGCTCAGCTTGTACTTGTCACCTTCCTTGCCGGAGTAGTTGTGGAAGACGGAGATGAGGGTGTCCACGGCCGTCTCCAATTGCGACGCCATCCTGGGGCCTGCAGAGAAAGGACCGGGGGGGGGGAGAAGGATGCTGAACGAAGGCACCTGCGTCGCGAAAA